AGGAATGGCCACTGAGCAGCTCACATTGGAACTTTGGGGTTTGACGCATATATAATAAATATTTGTTTTCCTGAAACATGGAGAAAATGAAAGGCTCATTCTGAAGTTCTAACTGCTTCTAGTTTGTTTTTAGAGTGCAAAGAGGACCCCAATCCACTTAGTGTTTATTTTTAGTTACTGGCCCAATTTATTTGGAGCAGTGCTCATGCAGAATTTTGGAGGTACAGTTTTTCATGTCATTACAATTAGTACTCCCTGTTCAAGCTTCAGAAATACACTGTAGTTGCTCCAATGCTGAAATGATAATCCAGGCTACCTCGCAGTTTAGGCTGAGCTGGCTCTTTTCTGTCTGTATATTCCCAGGGGAGTAGAGCTGTGTGTTGATGGCTAACACAATATTCTTGTTGTTTTTTTTCCAGCCTTGCTATGAAACAGTGAAAATATGGCTCCAGGAAAACTTACTAGCAGTGGGAATCTTTGGATTGTGCACAGCTATGGTGCAGGTACAGCTTAATACCCATTTTCAAATCCTAATTAATGGTAACGAAATAAATAACCATAGATCCAGATATACTCTGTCCAAGCTTGTTTTAATGGTTCCAAATTTTGCATCATGTTAGAGTAAAACTGCAAGATTTAAGTCTTTTATGTTTTAGTTTAGATAAAATATTATGTACAAGGTACAGAACTAGGAATACTGCACACATTTTCGGTTTTATGATGCACTGCAAAGAGCAGGGTACTTTACCAAGTGGTTTATCTAAGACTTAGACTAGATTCAGTGGTAGTCCCCATCCTCCAAAGACAGAAGGCCAGTCAGGGTAGGGTGAATTGCCTTTTAGGGTACCTGTATTTGTCTAGTAATTCTCCAGCCAGGACTAAGTGCTTAGTCTAAATACCTAAATTCAAGATAGCCTAAAGGTAGCTTAACTCTTCAACACCATCCTCAGTCCTAGGGTAAGTTGCATGTTGGGATGTTGAGGGGTTGGAACTACATCATCTTTAAGGTCCCTTCCAACCTAAACCATTCTATGATTGATTCTGTGTTGTTACCATTACTCAACCTTGCCAATAAACCCACATTCCTTTTCTATTAATTGCAGGGAAACAGGGTAGGTAAGACTGGCTTAGACTTGCCTGTCAGATTTTGACCTGCAGTTATTTCCAGCATAACGTTGGTCAGAGAAGAATCAGTTGTCAGTATAGTACTTTAGTCTCTTATGTACTTGTGTCTTTAATTCAGCTTGCCATGGTTGTGGCCATAGTCTAGCCCCAATGACACAAACCTTAGCCTGAGGACACACAGGTGAAAGCTGTGCTGGAGCTCAGGCTGTTTCAGCTATATGTCAGCCCTCCATTTATGGCCCAAAGTCCCATTCCTAAATGCAGCGAAGGCAGAACTTTAGTTTCCAGCTCCACCTCTCTCACATTCAACATATAAGCAGAAAGGATGGCATCGCTAATCTAATTAATACCATGTAACTCCGGATTAACCCATGTTTTTTAAAAATTTTGCATGGTATACCATTAGCAGCAGCAAGAGAAAGCCTGGGATCAGAATTCCACTCATATTCCCACTAATGTCAGATCAGGCAGAACGGCACGTATCTTTCTCTCGTGTCACGTATTGGCTGCAACTTATGAACGCAAATGCCTGACTGCTCGTAGGCCCAAATTCAGTAGAGTTTTGGGTTTTGTTTTCCAGTATAGTAAGCAGATATGGTTAGGGAAAAAAGATAAGCACAACAAGATCATATGGCAGAAAGACAATGTAAGACTGTTATTAATATATTGCCTTATTTTAAAAAGCAGCTTTTGAGCATCTATTCAGCATTTAGGGAGTCTTTAAAAGACACATTAAAAACCTAGAAGCCCATGGCAGAGTCCTTCTCATAGGCCTACCTTTATTATATTTAGGGTATTTTAGAGAATACTGTCTTCCTGAACAAAAGAAATTACTACTTTGCATGGGAGAAAACACTTCTGTTCAGACGCTTTAAAAATGCTAATTAATATTCCTAGTAAATGCTGTGAGATACAGAGAAAACACCTCTGAACACAAAAGAGATTTAGTCCATCTCCCAGCTGCACTGTGTGACTGAATCTAATTGATGACGAAAGTTTTGATGTACTGTCACCTAAAAAAATTAATCGGGTTCCCTCTACTGTTGCTCTTACAATGTTGTTCTGGCCCCAATGTGACAGCTTTTGTTTTTCATGTTAAAAACTTACCGTTAGAATCATACAGTGACACAACTTGAGGGACACACAGCACATGTGGCAGAAGAATCTTCTTCAGTCATACATGCTCAAAATTATAAAACAAATTCAGCCACCAAGGTTCTATTACGCAGCTGTCCCTGAGGGTGTTCCTTTGGTAAGTAGAAGGCAGTGTTCAGGTGATACTTCCAAAAGGCATGTGCTTACTATAAAACAGCACACCAAGGCCTAACAATCTTATTTCACTGTGGAAGAATGGGAAATTAAGAAGATAACAGCTTTATAACCTTATTTTTCTTTATAAATAAAGTAGTTTGTGTGTTATTCACATACCCTTTCAAAATACTCATTAACAGGAACTACTATTTATGTAAAGAGTAAATTTGAAGTGGTTAAATTAAGTGCTTATAATAGAACTCATACAAAAAAATTCTATCTGGCAAACCTTTATTCCAGTGACAATTTTTACAGTGGTACTGCAAATGAATAGTAACAACCCCTTAGTATATTCATACAGTACTTGAACTGGAAGGAAAAAATAGTCTCTTCCCCATCCCTTTTTATGATGAAGTAATCTACCAGAGGTGGCACAGCAGGTCAGTAGTTGGGCTGGGAGAAGAACCACCACCTCCCTGCTGCTTCTCTTGAATAGGCTGAGTAGAAAGACACATACATTGTTGATGAGGCATTGATGGTTATGATTAATGCATGGACAGTCTCCAGTGATTCCCCCACAGGGACACGTGCACACACACACTTGGAAAAGTAAAGTTCAGTAAAGTAAACCACAGCATCCTTTGGGTCAGGGATGAACCTGATTGTCTTTCAAAGCAATAGCTACAGAGATAACCACACAGCCCCACAGCTGTGGATTGCTACTGTAAAATACTTTTGAGCCAAAGACATCCAAACATTTCTTTTCAATATACCTCTTCCCAATATCTGGCGGCTGCTTTTCATGGAGAAATCAACTCTCCCGTGCTCTCATTGCTGATTCTGTAAAACAGCAATACAGATAAGGACAAAAGGCAGACAGAAACTAGAAGCAGAACGGGGACATGAGCTGGCAGGAAAAGCAGTATGTGATGTCTTCCTATGTGTGAACAAAACCAGTGTAAGCACGCCTTTCTCTCTTTTTTTTTTTTTTTGTTTTGTTTCAATAAACAGGGAGGGGGGTTTACTTACTGAAAAATGATTATTTGTTGTGTGTTTTTTTTTTCCCCTCAGATTCTTGGACTCACCTTTGCAATGACTATGTATTGTCAGGTAGTCAAGGCAGACACCTACTGTGCATAGATATCATTCCCAACCTTTCTGCTCCTCCTCCAAAGGACACAGGAGAAATCTCCTTCATGCTCATTCATCTGACCTTTTTTTTTCCCCCCTTTGTACTATAAACTGTGTATAATGCTATCTTTCTGAAGATTTTGTGAATCACCCCACTTTACTGAAGGAGGAAGAAAAGAAAAAGTCAGTACTTGAACTGGCACAGGTAAGAAGCAGCCTTGTCTTTAAAACAGAAGAAAACCTCCAAAGAGCAATGGTTCCTTTTCCGGAGGCTGCTTAGGAGGAACTGATCTACAAACAGATGTTAGGAAAAGATTGCACTGAGGCAACCTCTGCGAAACCTGCGAGGTTGGCTTCCCGCATTTTACGGTCTGGAAGCGAGGGCATAGAAAATGAGTATTCTTCAGTGTGGAAAGAAGGTACAGAGTAGCTAGCACTGAATGCAATTGTAATTTTACTACAGTTTGCACACAGCTAAAATGTCAAGATCAAGCAGCCCTGCCTCCAAGTGTCTCAAGATGATTTTGAAGCCAGGAGAGAATCATCTTCAGAAATACATTATTTTAAAGGAGTATTTTTAATCTTATGCACTGCGAAGTCAGGCTTTTAATCAGAATCTGTACAGTGAGATCTGGATGTTAAGGGAAAACAACTCTGAACATTGTCTCACTTATTAATTGCCAGTGGCGTATAGATGGTTGACTGTATATGTAATATATATTTTACATTCATATACACATACTGTTCTGAAAGGTGAAAATACCCAGCATCTAACCTCAGAAAGAGGGAACCTTTCTATCCCGTTTTACATTCCAACTGAAATAACTGAGTATTATTTCTTGTAGGAGGCACTATCACTTATACCTCTGGGAAACAAGTAATTACTTTCAGCTGTATCTTCATTTCAGTAAACAACTTGTGAGTGGGTTCTCTCTGTCATTCTACTATGGTTTTATTTTTTATCATCCCTGTTTCAAGTTAGTCTGCCAAAAAATATCACTCATTTCCACACTTGAAGATCTGTACAAAGCTGTCAGCTCTTCCTTCCCTGAATGTCACCATTTCATTAATTTACTTTGGGATATCGTCATCTGCAGGTATGATAGAGTTTGCCTTGCTGAGGAGAAAATCTTTTGCACGTTGCTCATTTTTCTGAGAGTTATTGAGACTTCAGATGTTTTTACGCTTAGGTTTTTTGGTTTGTTTTTTGTTTTGTTTTGTTTTGCTTTTTTCTTCTTTCAGCTGCATGCTTATAACAGCCAAGACACATCAGTCTTTATTAGAACTGGAGTCACCTCTCAGTTCTGTTTTTCAGACCCATCTCCCTCCGCCTGGCTGTTGGCTAGAATAGGCCCCACACTTTCCGGAATTTGCAGAAATTAAAATCATAACTTTCCTTAACCAGAAACCATAACTTTCCTTGTCCAATTTCCCCAGTGCCCTTTTGTGCACACCTTCTAGTGATGAGGTTAAGAATCAGATGTTTCCTATCGTTTAAACAATTCCCATCAGCAAGCAGGCCCAGATAACGCACACATGACAGGGGACAGGCAAACAGAGCGATGCAGTTGGCCTGTTCCCTGCAGCCAGCCTTTGAGAACCTCTCAGCTACTGACAATAGACCAGAGACAACT